AGAGCCCCTGACTCCCAGCTTGGGCTCAGCTCGCGATCTCATGGGTCATGAGAGGCAGCCCCCCCCCCCCGCCCCGTGGGCTCCGCACTCAGCGGGGGTCTGCTCGGGACGCTCTGCCTCTGCCCCTTCCCCCACTCGTGCATGCTCCCACTCTCTGTCTCTCCCAAATAAATCAATGTTGGTTAAAAGAGAAAAAGAACTCAGTTTTCAGTATATATACAAATAGATGTAGAAATCCACGTCGATGTAAACGGGCACGTGTTGTACGAACGCACCTACAGACACGTACACAGGTAGGTAGATCCATACACGCGCCTCGTCCCCCGCTGTGACCACGGAAGGGCCTGGAAGCACCGACGTCTCAAGAACATGGAGCACACCTGGACCCATATCTTTTTTTTTTTTTTTTATATTTTATTTATTTATTCATGAGAGACAGAGAGAGAGAGAGAGGCAGAGACACAGGCAGAGGGAGAAGCAGGCTCCATGCAGGGAGCCCGACGTGGGATTCGATCCCGGGACCCCGGGGTCACGCCCTGGGCCGAAGGCAGGCAGATGCTCCACCGCTGAGCCCTCCGGGCGCCCCTAAAGCCCCGAATCTTTGTTCTAAATACCATGAAGGGAGCAGAGTTCCTCGGAGAAACGGCTGAGAGCGGGCAGGGCCAGAGCAGGGAACGTAGGACGACGCGTTCTTGGGCCGCAAGAGGAAAAAGCGCTCAAAGCCGGGTGGAGACACGACAGAAGAACTCAGGGGCGAACCGGGAGGCTGGCGCCCCCCACTACCGCCGGCTTGTCGCAGACTAACCACGTTTGATGGAGAAGAACATCATAAAAGATCATAATAATAGTAACAAAATCATAATCCATTGACGAAATAGGGAGTCGTGAGCCCGTAATGACATAAATGAATGAGTGGACGGGGACTCGAGAAAGATTTTTCTCACAGCGGAATGACAGCTCATGAACGTAGAGGGAAGAATGAACTGGGAGATCACCATGGGGCAGCCATCACCGAACCAGCAAGTCTCCCAGGAGGCGTCAATGAGGGGCTAGAGCCGACTGGTGACGGTTCGGGGAGGAGCAGGGCATTTGCGTGGCCTGGACCTTCCAACAAAATGCATATTAACCTCAAAGAGGGAAAAGCGTGGGGCGCCGCCGGGGTGGGTCATGAGCCGGGGCGGGATCGAGCCCTCATCGCGGCTCCTTGGGCCGGGAGCCTGCCTGTCCCCACCCTCCGCTCCGCCCTCCCCATTGCTGCTGTGGTGGGGAGGGGACAGCTAAGAGGGAAAGCCCTCGAGGCGGAGTAGCCTCCTCTTCTCTCAACCCTGGGCCTACAGGTGGGCCTACATGTGCACCGACCACAGGTACGTCTGGAGAGCAGGGGTGCAGGGAGGAGGGCGCCTGGGGTCAGTGCAGCTGGGCCTCCCAGCAGCCTCCCAGTTGCAGATATTCGGCCATTCGTGACCTACAGAGAGGCCATATCCTATCCAGAGGGGCTGATCCTTACACCCCCTGCTGCGGGGCCGAAGGAAATAAGAAATGGGTTTCCAAAAAAAAGAAAAAAGAAATAGGTTTCCAAACAGGAAATGGAGAAACGCATTTCTCAGTGCTTTATGCATAGTCACTCGATCAATCCTTGCAAAAAGGGACCAAAAGATGCGATCCCCATTTTCAGATGAAGAACAAGAAGTAACGGGTTCTCACCGCTGTTGTTGGTGGGTCCTCCTGGAATCAGTTGGGGGGGAGGGTGGCCACATGCGCCTGCCCCCCAAGGCCTCCCAGCTGGGTCCAGATAGGGCAGATTCTCTGCGGTCACCTGAGTCCCTGCTGCTCAGGGCAACTCGCCTGCAAGTGACAAAATAAGCACGACCTGGGGCACTGGGGGGGGGGGGAGTTCAGCAGGTGAGCATCCGCCCTGGGCCCAGGACATGACCCCGGGGTCCCGGGATCGAGTCCCGCACGTCGGGCTCCCTGCATGGAGCCTGCTTCTCCCTCTGCCTGTGTCTCTGCCTCTCTCTGTGTCGCTTAAATAAATGCAGAAAATCTTTATAAATAAATTAATTAAATTGAATTAAATTAAACAAAGAAGACAATCAGGATCGGGGACAGCCAACCAAGCATCACTTACCAAAGATTAGCACAAATGATCTGGAGCCAGAATCTCATCCCCGCTTCAGCGGCGCCCAGGAGGCTGCAGGCCCGCGATGCCTCCGGTGCCCTCGCCCTTAGGAGCCCCTGCGCTGGGCCGTCCCGGGTCTCCTCCAGGGCAGGACGCCCCCCCCCCGGGCTCCCTCCCCGCCTGGGCCTCCCCGCAGAGCACCCGGCTCACCCAAGGACGCGACCCAGACGTTGCCAAAGGGGCCTCTCCTCCTCCGCGGCTGCCCGGGGACAGCAGGGAAGGGGCGCCCGGCCCCAATGCGTGTGTGCGTCGCGGCAGGGAGGGCAGCAGACGCAGAAGCCACGCTGCTCGGGGCCCGTCGCCCGGCTGCCCAGCTCCCCACCCTGCAGGGGGACCCCTGCCTCCCAGAGGAGATCCTTTCCACCCGCATCAGTTTTCAAATTACAACTTTTTTTTATTGGAGTTTGATGCCAGCAAATTGCATATCACCCCGGGCTCATCCCATCAAGTCCCCCCCAGTGCCCGTCACCCAGTCACCCCGACCCCCGCCCACCTCCCTTTCCACCAGCCCCTGTTCTAAGTACAAGTCACCACAAATGTGCCGGCTGAAAACAACACACATTCACCATCCGGTGGTTTTCGAGGTCAGAAACCTCACATGAGCCCCCGGGGCTACAGTCGAGGCGCCAGGAGGGCCGCGTGCCTTTCTGGAGGGGGGGCCCGTGTCTGCACCCCTCCCGGCCTCCGGAGGCCGCCTCGGCCCTGGGCTCTCGGGGCCACTGTCCCACCTCCAGAGCCGGCCACGTCCAGCCGGCCCCCGGGGTCGCTCCCTGCATCCAAGATTCCCCATGACTACGTGGACCCAGCGCATCCGGGTAACCCCCTATTGTAAAGGCAGCAGATCAGCGACCTGAAACCCAGGCCCTATTTAGGCTAACGGGTCTACAGATTCCGGGGATCGGGACGTGGACACCTCTGGGGCCACGATCTCGTGGACACCCGGGTCCTCCTCCCGTGGGACCAGCCCCGCTGCCCCCTTAGGCCTTGGCACCACCGGGGTCCGTTGCCAGAGGCCCAACCACCCAGGCAGGTGCTAAGGTCTACACCTGCCCCCCTGCCCCGGAGGAAGGCGGGTCAGCCAGTCCCTCCTGCCCGTCGGCTCCGTGTTCCCCAGGGCGCCGGGGCCAGGCCACAGCCTCCAGGACCCCAGTCCAGACTCGCCTCTCCCCAGGCCAGGCCCGCTCTCACCGCCCCCCCCATACGGCCTGGTTCCCCGTCCTCACCGGCCGCAGTGTCACTCCCCGACACTGACTCATCCTTCACAGCTGAGCGTTGGTAGCTTTGACACCTCTGGCCACCCCCCGGCGGCGCTCCGCTTCTGTGTATCCAGCACCGCAGCCCTCCCGTCCGCCTCCCCAGCCACAGGGCTGGTTTGCAGCTCTTCCGGCCTGTGCTGGACCTCCCCCCACCTGGGCCTCCCCGCCTGGGCCTCCTCCCTGCCTGGGATCCTCCCCACCTGGGCCTCCCCCTGGCCTGGGCCTCCCCTCCTGGGCCTCCTCCCCACCTGGGATCCTCCCCTCCTGGGCCTCCCCTCCTGGGCCTCCCCCTGGCCTGGGCCTCCCCTCCTGGGCCTCCTCCCCACCTGGGATCCTCCCCACCTGGGCCTCCCCACCTGGGATCCTCCCCTCCTGGGCCTCCCCTCCTGGGCCTCCTCCCCACCTGGGATCCTCCCCACCTGGGCCTCCCCTCCTGGGCCTCCTCCCCACCTGGGATCCTCCCCACCTGGGCCTCCCCACCTGGGATCCTCTCCTCCTGGGCCTCCCCTCCTGGGCCTCCTCCCCACCTGGGATCCTCCCCACCTGGGCCTCCCCACCTGGGATCCTCCCCTCCTGGGCCTCCCCTCCTGGGCCTCCTCCCCACCTGGGATCCTCCCCACCTGGGCCTCCCCACCTGGGATCCTCCCCTCCTGGGCCTCCCCTCCTGGGCCTCCTCCCCACCTGGGATCCTCCCCACCTGGGCCTCCCCACCTGGGATCCTCCCCACCTGGGCCTCCCCACCTGGGATCCTCCCCACCTGGGCCTCCCCTCCTGGGCCTCCTACCCACCTGGGATCCTCCCCACCTGGGATCCTCCCCTCCTGGGCCTCCCCTCCTGGGCCTCCCCCTGGCCTGGGCCTCCCGCCTGGGCCTCCTCCCCACCTGGGATCCTCCCCACCTGGGCCTCCCCTCCTGGGCCTCCTCCCCACCTGGGATCCTCCCCACCTGGGATCCTCCCCTCCTGGGCCTCCCCTCCTGGGCCTCCCCCTGGCCTGGGCCTCCCGCCTGGGCCTCCTCCCCACCTGGGATCCTCCCCGCAGGGTGCCGCCCCTTCTGTGGCCCCACTACCTGCAGGTGCTTAGTGAGGACCCCAGCCCACCCCGAGGCCGACCCCTGGGCGCCGCCTGGTGTCTGGAACCCGAATGAGAAACTACATTCCTATGGGTACAAGCAAGAAAAAGGGGGTTTGAAGCGGGAGGTGCTGCCCTCTGCTGGCCCCTGGGCCCAGCCATGGCCGACGTCCCCCTCCCCTGGCGCAGACGCTGCCCTGTGGGTTCAGAAGCTGCTGCCGCCCCTCCTGGCTCCAGCTTAACTGTCCCAGGTGCTTCCATAACGAGGTGTTAAGCTCAGGGTTTCAGGGACGCCCGGGGGCTCGCGGCTGGGGGTCGGCCTTCAGCGTGACCCCGGGGTCCTGGGATCGAGTCCCACGTCGGGCTCCCTGCCTGGAGCCTGCTTCTCCCTCTGCCTGGGTCTCGGCCTCTCTCTGGGTCTCATGAATAAGTAAATAAAATCTTTTTTAAAAGAGAAATTGTTATTTAAAAAAAATACAATTGCAGGTAAGCACCAAGACACAACGGATGAAATCGTATTTATTTACGTATTTGAGAGAGGCCCCCTCGCCGGGAGCAGGGGAAGGGGCGGAGGGAAGCCCAGCAGCCCCCCTCCGAGCGCAGGGCCTGGGGGGCTGTGCACGTGCGACCCATGGCCTGAGCGGAAACCGAGACGCGCGCACTGACACGACGGGGCCACCCGGGCACCCCGAGTTTTAAGGCCAAGTGCCAAGTCACCCTAAGACGAATTTCGAGGGGGATCTTTAAGAACTGGTTTCTGGCCGCCTCAGCCAGATGAAGGGTATTTTTTTTTAAGTCCTAACATGGAGAGAAAGGAGGATTTGGGGGGAGGCACAGTAGGGATAGGAGGAAGGAGAAAGGGGCCCCCGCCTTAGAGCAGGCCTAGCGGGCGCCCAGGGGTCACCCCAAGAGCCGAGTACGGAGCCTCTGGAGTTGAGGGCAGAGGGGCCTGGAGGAGCCGAGGAGCCCGGCCCGTCCGCCCGGCCAGGAAACTCTGCTCTGGGCCGTGGGAGAGGAGCAAGCGAGCCCCGCGCGCCCCTCGGACGCTGCCCTGTGGGGCTTCCTCAAGGGACTAGAGGACCCTGACGGCTGGGGAAAGGGGGTCACGTTCCTCGAGTCGGGGAGCCAGCGGAGGACGGGGCAGAGGCCCCAGAGGACATAGAGGGGAGGAGCTGGGACCCTGCCCGCCGGGGGAGGGCGACGCTGCCCATCAGCCCCCGGCGCCCCGGCCCCTCCCCGGCGCAGCTCACTGTGGGGGACGGGCAGGCCTGGGGGGCGAAGGAGGAGGGGGGACCGGACACACAGGTGGTCGACCCAGCCCCCGGCCCCCAGCCCCCCGGCCCGGGCCTCGGCCGCTCCCACTGAAGCAGGGCCCACAGGCGGCGGTGACGGCAGACGGTGGCCAGTCTTCATTCGGGGGCGGCCAGGTTGTCCCTGCTCCCGCGCAAGGCTCAATGCCTGTCTCTTACTTGACAGCGAGCAAAATCCTTAGGATTCTTCCCTGGTTTGGGGGCGCCCGGGGGGCTCAGCGGGTGAGCAACCGCCTTCGGCCCAGGGCGTGACCCCAGGGTCCCAGGATTGAGTCCCACGTCGGGCTCCCCGCGTGGAGCCTGCTTCTCCCTCTGCCTGGGTCTCGGCCTCTCTGTGTGTCTCATGAATAAATAAATAAAATCTTAAAAAAAAAAAAAAGAGTCTTCCCTGATTTTTTACACACAAGGGCAAGGGGAAAAGTCAGCCCCACTGAGCAGCCCAATAAAGTATCGCTGCCCTTCTTCCCTGCTTCACCCCCTGGGCCCTTCACCCCTCACTCTCCAGGAAGAGCCCCCCAGGCCTCTTGAGAGCCAGGCCAGCCCCTCCCAGAGATGCTGAGCCCTTCCCCCCAGGGAGACGGGGAGACGGGGAGAGGCAGGGCCCCGCGCAGCGCTCGGGGTGAGGCTGTCCCCCTGCCCCCCGGGGCTCTCGCTGCCCGGCTCCTGGCGTCTCCAGAACCCTCGCGTGCACCCAGAACCTCAGGTGCGGCCTTGTCTGGAGATGGGGTCTTGGCGGACGTGCTTGGTTGCAGCTCTTGAGATGAAAGCGTCCTGGATTTCGGGGGGAGCCCCGAAGCAAGGAGAGGACGGGCCAGAGAGAGGCACCGGCCCCGCGCCAGGAGCCCCCGGGGCCACCAGCACTGGGAGAGGCCAGGAGGGGGTCCTCCCTAGAGCCCTGCCGGCCCCTGGATCCCAGGCCCCGGCTCCAGGACCGCGGCCCAAGTCCCCGCTGCTCGAAGCCGCCCAGTCGGAGGCACCCTGTTCCCCGGCGTGTGGGCCCCGGCCTGGGAAGACGGGAGGACGGCTGGCTGTGACCTTGAAATGACGCCCCCCCGCCCTCCCCTGTGAGCTGCCCAGGGGGAAGCCCAGGCACCTGCCCCCACCTCCGCCAGCGCCAGCCACCCCCCCACCCCCACCCCACCCCCACACACACACACACACACACCCCGGATCGTCCAGAGCCCAGGCCCTTCCCTCCCAGGCCTGCTGACCTGCCTCCTCCTGCTCCGCGGCTGCAGAATTTTCCATCACATCGGCAAGTCCAAGTCATTAGGTTCAATCATTAACAGGGCGGGTGCTAATTAGCGGGTGGAGGGGGTGATGAGTTGCTGATCAGGCGAGGCGCCTCCCGGGGGTGCCCACCCCTAATCCTGAAGGCTCGGACCTCCCGGTGCCTTCATCCCTGCTTCGCCCAGAGTCAACGAGGAAACGTTTCAAGGGATGAGCCCCGGCTACCCCCGCCCATTCCTCGAGCGCCCAGTGGGTGCCAGGCCGGAGCTCAACATCCTGGGGACTCCACCCTGGGGACATCGCCCGGTCCCCTCCAGGCCTGTGACATCAGGGATGCCTGGCTTTACAGCAGGGAGAGCGGAGCCTCAAAGAGGCCAGTTCTGCCCAAGGTCACGGGGCTTCGTGCCCCGGGGACACTGCCCAGAGGCCTGGTGATGCGGAAGGAGCCCCCTGCCTGTGCCCCACTGTGGGGGGGGGTTGAGGGTCAATGACCGAAGGGTTCAAATGCGTCCCAAGAGGCCCTCGGGCCCGAGCCTGCTTCAGGCTCAGCCGCTGCTCTGCCAAAGCCACCACATCGGGCTCGTCGGGAGCCGGGCTAGCTTGGGTTCCAGGCCTCGGAAGAGCCGCTTCCTCTCTCTGGCCTCAGTTTCCCCTCTCCAGCTCCCAGAGCATGGGCCACGCTGCAAGTCCCACCCCCCCCCCACCCGCTACCCGGTTGCAGCTCAAGAAGACACAGAGCACTTTGCAAATGAGCAGCCCCTGTGTTTGAGTCACCAGCTCTGGCTCGGTCCCCAAGAGTGCCAGCTGCAGGGGGGCGTACCCAAGCCTGGCACACTGGCAGCGACGGGCTTTTCACAGCCAAGCCGGGCGCAGTGCAGGCAGGCGGGGCCTCCCAGCTGCCCCCTGAGCACCACCCCCCTCGGTGCTGCGGCCCAGCTCGCGGACAGGTGTCCCCGGTGGGCGTCGGAGGCCCGGGGGCAGGGTGCCCACACCTCGGCTGCAGGCCCAGCCCTGCCGCGCAGCTGCTCCCTCCTCCTCAGGACTCCCAGGCGTTTCCAGAAGAGCAGAGCCACTTCGAGGGACAGGCTTTCCTGCTCCCTGAGGATTTTCCAAGCACAGCCCCCAGCCCCAAGCCCGCTCAAGGAGCCTCCAGAAGCATTCGAAGAGCTACAGCAAACTGGTGTGAACATATGGCTCCCCGGGGGGGTCCACCTGGGTTGGGGGGTGCTCCTTCGCCCACGAACCAGCCCCCCGCCTCACGGCCCCAGAGCCCCAGGGAGGAGGGTGCACCCAGCAGGCCTCGGCTCGCCCACGGCCGTCGCGTCGGAGGGAGAGGCCAGGCCGAGGCCCAGGTCCCTGCCTCTGGCTGCAGCCCTGGGTCCAGACGTCCCAGCCTGTGGCCGCGGCCGCTCTAACTCAGGATGGCAACGTTCCTAAAAGGGTTTATTTCTTCATGAGAGACCAGAGAGGGAGGCAGAGACGCAGGCAGCGGGAGAAGCAAGCTCCATGCAGGGAGCCCCACGCGGGACTCGAACCCGGGACCCCGGGGTCAAGGCACATGCTCCACCGCGGAGCCTCCAGGGGCCCCGGGATGACAACATCTGAGAATAGGAAGAAACCCACACAGTCACCTGGCCCCCCTCCCGTCAGGGATGAGAAAACAGCCGGGCGTGTGTCTGGGGGTCGGGAGGAGCGACTGCCCCACCGCGGAGGCCCAGAGACGTGGCGCAGAGGGAGGAACTGACGTGTAACCCCCCAAATGCCCCAAGTGCCCGGCCCAGCCTGGGCTACAGGACCCCCAGGCCTGAGAAGTAAAGCAAGATCCTAGTCCGTGCGTCCGTCCCGGGGGTGTGGGGTCGCTGGGGGTGAGGGGGACATGAACCAAAGCAGACCGTGCTGAGGGCCAGGAGCAGCCCACGAACCCGGAGCAGGCCCGCCCAGCCCAGGGGCGCACCTGCCCGCACCTGCCTGCCCCGCCGGGAAGGGACGCGGCCCCGGCCCAGGCCCCCACCCGCCCACCCGCCCGCAGCTGCACAGGCTCCCACCCCGCAGGCTCAGGCACGGGTGCAGGTGGAGCCAGGACGCCCTTGCAGGCCCGCTGTGCCCCACCGGCACCCCTCCCCGCCCTGCCCCCACAGCACCCAGCGGGCTCCTCCCTCCCTGCGCCCTCCTCCTCGCCTCCACCCCAGCACCGGCTGCTCGGGGCCCTCCTCCCACACGGCCCCCAGCAGCCGCCTCCCCTCCTCGCCGCCCCAAGAACTGGAGCTCGAGGAGGCAACACGACGGTGGCCGAGGACTCCGGGGGGATCCCCGTGGCCAGAGCAAAGTCTGGGGGGAAGGGAGTGTGAAGGGGGCAGGCACGGGGGGGGGGGGGTGCCTCCCCGCGGGACCAGGCAGGAAGCAGGGCCGCTGCGGGCTGCTCGAGGCTCTCCCGGGCGCCAAAGCCCGACCGCAGGCGATGCTCAACCCTCTCGGGCCGGACTCTTCTCCCATTTTGCAAATGAGGAAACTGAGGCTCGGGGACGGGATTCTGTGGTCCCAGAGTCCCTGGTTCAAGTTCCAGGGTCCTGGTGGAATGGGGCCAGGCAGGGCCGAGTCCCTGTGTCCGGGACACTGTGGACTCCGACCTCTGGGAGCGGAGCAAGTGCCTGCGAGCTGACGGGCCGTGCTCCCCACCCCGTCCTTACCCTCCAGGCCTGGGGTCTTCGCTCCCCCTCGTCCACCACCACTTCCAGCTGAGAGAGGAAGGGACAGGGCACCCCCCGCAGCCCCGCCCCGCCCACGGAGGAACCCGCAGAGCATCCGCGGGGGGACGAGTGGATTGGGTGGCGACACGGGCGCAGGTTCAAGTGCAGACGCAGGTGTGTGTGCGTGTGTAAAGGAGCACGATGTGGCCACAGAAAACGAGGGGATCCTACAACAGGGATGGGCCTTGGAAGCAGCGCGCTACGTGACGTGAATCCCGCCATGACCTCACCACACGCGGACTCTAGAACAAAAATTAAAAGAAATAAAAAAACAAAACAAAAATCAAAGTCCTGGAGAAGGAGGTCAGCTTTGGGGCGATCGGAGGCAGGAGGAGGGGCAGCGGGGAATGGAGGACGGTGGCCAAGAGGTACAGCCCGCAGGTGTAGGGAGGAAGGGGCCGGGCTGTAGGGCGCGGACCACAGCTGTGCGGGTGGGGGGGGGAGCTGGAAACGGAGTGACTCCTGAGTCCTTACACAAAGAGAAAAATTTTCCCCTTTTCTCTCCTTTTTTCCTTTTTTTTTTTATGGTTACCTATGTGAGACGGACGCCGGCTGCACCTGTTGTGGTGACCGCGCCACGATAGACCTCAGTCATCGTGTGAGCTGGGGTCTGTGCCTCCAACGTACACAGTGACGGACATCACGGATTTTTCATTAAAACCAGGGTGGGGGGATCTCTGGGTGGCGCAGCGGTTTGGCGCCTCCCTTTGGCCCAGGGCGCGATCCTGGAGACCCGGGATCAAGTCCCACGTCGGGCTCCCGGTGCATGGAGCCTGCTTCTCCCTCTGCCTGTGTCTCTGCCTCTCTCTCTCTCTCTATCATAAATAAATTAAAAAATTAAAAAAAAAACCAGGGTGGGGGGAGCTTGTAAGAGGATTGCTGGGGTCCCAGGGCACTGACCGGCAGCAGGAGGGGTCGGTCCCAGGGGCCAGGGACCCGCAGGGCCCACGTGGCTGCAGAGCAGGCCTGGCTCGACGCAGGAGCCCAGGCCTGCCCCAGGAGACTGCGGTGCCCCGGGCTGGGGAGGGCCCAAGGTTATTTTGGGAGGTAAAGGGAAGGGGGGGTGACCTCCAGGTCAGGGGAGGGTTCCCCGAGAGCGGAGGCGGCCACGAGCTGAGGCTGCCCCCCCCTCCGGGTCACGGTCGCGGGGGTCACAGGGCCCCGAAGTCACAGTAACCTGCGGGGAACCTGCCGGTGCTGCACTTGCGCGCCCCTCCCGCCCCTGCCTCCCCGGGTTCCTCCCCCAGGGGTGCACCCCCCCCCCGGGGCCGGCCCCTCCCGCCCCAGGCCCTGCGCGGTGCCCACCGGTCCTGCCACGCCCCGCTGGCCTCATCCCTCCTCGCTGGTCCTGAGCCCGCCTGGGCCCCGCCAGGCCGGGAAGTTCCCCCGCGAGTCTGACCTGCGAGTCTGACCTCGGGACCCGCCCCCCGCAGTGCACCTGGAAACCGCGCACCTGCGCCCCCCCCCCGCCTCTCCCCTGCGCACCCCCGCCTCTCCCCTGCGCACCCCCCGCCTCTCCCCTGCGCACCCCCACGGCTGAGCCGCAGAGCCCAGCCTCGCGGGCCCCGCCCCGGGTCCTCCCGACGCGGCCCCGCCCGCGCACCCCGGCCGGGACTCTGGGCCCGGGACCCCGGGGACCCCGAGCCCTCCGGACCCCGAGCCCTCCGGACCCCGAGCCCTCCGCCGCCCGCCGCCCGCTGGGCTTTCACCTCCGCTCCAGCGTCGCCGCCTCCACCTCCAGGGACGGTCCCCCCGCGGGCAGCCCCCCCCCCGCCCCGCCCCGCCCCGCCCCGGGAGGCGCCGCTCTACGCCCCGCGGGGGGGCTCCCTCCGCCTTGGCCCCCAGGACCTGCCCCCGCCCGGGGAGCTCCCGCCCGCCCCACCTGCACCCCACCTGCCCCACCTGCACCCCACCTGCCCCACCCGCACCCGCACTCCGCCCGCACCCCCACCTGCACGCACCCCGCCCTGCACGCACCCCGTGTGCACCCCCACCCGCACCTCCGCCTCCACCCCTGCCCGCACCCCTGCCCCACCTGCACGCACCCCCGCACCCCGTCCGCACCCCCGCCCCGCCCCGCCCCGCCCGGAGCTCGGGGACCCCTGGCGCCGCCCCTCCCGCAGCCCGCGGCGCGGCCACGACGGGGTTAAGGCTCGGGCTGGGGGCGGGGCGGGGCGGGGAGGGGCGGGAGGGGAGGGGCGGGGGGCGGGGCGGAGCCGCCGGGCGGCCGCCGAGGCCCCGGGGCCGGAGCCGGGAGCACCGAGCCGGCAGCCGGGAGCCGAGCGCGCAGGGCCGGGGCCGGGGCCGAGCGGAGCGGAGAGGGAGCGCCCGAGCCCCCGAGCCCCCGAGCCCCCGAGCCCCCGAGCCCCCGAGCCCCCGAGCCCCCGAGCCCGCCATGGAGCCCGACAGCAGCCCGCGGAAGATCCAGTTCACGGTCCCGCTGCTGGAGCCGCACCTTGACCCCGAGGCGGCCGAGCAGGTGCGGGGCGGGCGGGGCGCGGGGACCGGGCTGCGGGCGCCCAGAAGCCTGGCTGCCCCGTGGGACCCCAGCCCCCGCCCCCCGTCCCCCTCCCCCTCCCCCAGCCCCCTCCCCCGGTGGGACCCCAGCCCCTCCCCCAGCCCCTCCCCCAGCCCCTCCTCCAGCCCCCTCCCACCAGCTCCCCTCCCCCCGCCCCCAGCCCCCTCTCCTGGTGGGACCCCCAACCCCCTCCCCCAGCCCCCTCCCCCCAGCCCCCTCCCCCCCCCGTCCTGCACCCCCCCAGGCGACCCCGCCGGAGTTCCCGAGCTGGGGGGGGGCTCCCGAGGCCCCGGCAGCCTCGCGGGAGGGGCCTGGGGCCGAGGCCGGGACGCAGGCAGGGGTGCAGGCAGGGGTGCAGGCAGGGGTGCTGTTCCAGGACTAGAGCGGCCCCGGGGCCCCCGCCCGGTGAGAACCGGAGGAGCCCCCAGGGCGGGCCGGGGCGGGGGCGGGGGCGCTGGGTCTGCGGGCGAGGCCCCCCCCAAGCCCGCGCACGTGGGTCCCCGCTCCCAAGTCCTGCCCTCGGAGCCCCGGGGGGGGGGGGGGGGGCGGGCCCTGCGCGCAGCCTGGCGCCCGGGGGTGGGGGGTGGGAGTCCGAGGCCCTGGCCCGGCCCAGGCCTGCTCTATTTTTAGCTCGGAGCAGCCTGGCAGAGGCGGCGTGGATGAGTGTGAGCAAGCGTGTGTCTCAGGGAGAGGGAGCGTGCGAGGGTGACCCCCCGGGGCCACTACGACCGCCCGTTTGCCAAATATTTGCTCATTGCTCCATCTCTGTCCCCTGGCCCTGGCCATCCCGGTCCTAAGGAATCCCCGGGGGTCACCGGGTGGGTCCTGCCTCGCCCCCCAGCCGGCTGCCAGGGCTCTGGCCCGACCTCCCCCGGGAAAACCTCTGGGACCTCCTGGGGTGGGCCGGAGCTTGTGTCCTCCGCGTGGCCCCAGCTGTGGGGGGCATCAGGTCAGGCGTGAGGGAAGGGCGGGGACCACACTGTCCCTGGATGTCAGGGGCCTAAGTGTGGGAGGGGGTCGGAGCCTACACCTCCCTCCTCTCCCTGGCGGGGCCCCCTGTCCGGGCGCCGGGGGTGGCAGTAGGAGGGCCGAGGGGAGCCCTGGAGCTGGTGAGGATGAGGAGGGTGGAGAGCCGGAGCCCGGGGAGTGTCCCACCAGCGTCGGGGGCCAGGCCACTGTGCCCCACACCCCGAGGCAGGGCCCTGAGATGATCTCAGACCCCAAGAAAGGGCCCGTGGGTGTGCGGGGGAGCGGGCGGCCCCAGCCGAGGCGCCGGGAAGCACTGCCCTCCACCGGCGCGGGCGGGTCTCCCTGCCTGACACCTGCACCTGTTTGGTGCTGGAAAGGCAGGTGTCAGCGTGCGGGGGGAGGGAAGGCCTGCGGCTTCAGGGGGACACAGGGGGAGCCCGGCGGCAAAAAGAGAGCTGGGACTTCCGCCCGCTTTCCTCTAATCTTCCAAAACTGGTGTCCACTAGACACCTGCTCCCTCCGTCCGGCCTCCACCCTTCCTGCGGGGCCGCCCAGGGTTACCCATGCTAAGGGCTCCAGGCGTGGCCGGAGCCCCTGACCCAGACTGACCCGAGCGGGCAAAAGGGGTAGAAACCGTGGGTTAGTGGCACAGAATGGCAGGGCTGCCGGGGCACCCACGGCCGGGGGCGCGGTGGCAGATCAGGGCCAGGCCCCAGGTGCCCTCGAGCGCTGGGACGAGACCCCACTGCGAGGAAACCATGGGACCGTCCATTCGTTCCCTAGTAGTTCGGGTGCGGGGAGGTGCTCGAGGAAGGCGGCTGCACCCTGCCCCCCGCTGTGGGGACCCTGGGTGCCTAGGAGTCCCGTCCAGGGCTCGGAAACTGGTTAAGGAAGGGGTGTCGGACGGCTCCCGAGGCCCTCGCTGACACACGTGGGTCCTTCCCAGGCTCCCGCCTCCCCCACTGTCCCCCAGCCCGTCCCTGCGACTCCTCTACCGCCAGCACCCCGTCCACCCACAGCCACAAAGAGGAGCCCCCTCCTAGGGAGGGGTGGCCCTCATCCGCACGTGAAGCACACGCGCGCACCTGCTGGTGCCAGCGCATCTGCATCAGGACTGGCCACACGGGCCCACGGCTAATGTGGGGGGGGACATGCACACACGCGTGCGCGCACATTCAGGACCAGTACTGCCAGGGACCTTGGAATGTCACCCCAAACAGATGTCGCTCCAGAGAAAGCAATGACCCGGCCCAGCATACCCCCAGCATATGCGTCCCACTTCTCGGGGGACAGTCCCCCTCTCGGGGCAACACCGCGCCTCTACTGTGGCCGATGCCCACCTCCTGGGCACAGAGAAGGGTGGGCGTCTTACCCCACCCCCAGTCCTGGTGACACCACATCGTGGACACAGACACGTAGAAATTTGATCCCTCGGTGTCCTCAGCCTGCTGCTCTCAGCCCCGGGTCACGTGAGCTCCTTTCCCAGCCATGTGGCCCTCCGTCCCCTCTTCTGCCCTGGAGGGAACCGCAGGGACGCCGGCCCCACGGTCCCCTCACCGCCCAGCCCCGAAACCCTCCAGAGAAAGGGGAAAAGCCACATGTCCCAGGAGTCCTTGGACGGCCTTCAACAGCGGTCACCTTTGTGGGCAGCCTGGCAAAGGAACGCAGAGGCCCGGGACGCTCGGCCTTTGCGCCTCAAGTCCTTAGAACGGGACCCCGGAGCCGGGCGGGATGGGGCGGTCCCGCGGGGGCTCCTGCTGGTGGATTTACCACCCCGAGGATTCGCCCCGCCGCGCTTCCTGACCAACTGGAAGGGCAGTGAGTCCAAGGAGAGAGAGGACTTTGGGGAATGAGCCGGGGAAGGCAGCTTCACCCCTGCGCCTGCACCCTCACCCCTGCACCTTCACCCCTGCGCCTTCACACTTGCGGTCTCACCCTTGCGCCTTCACGCCTGCGCCTGCACCCTCACATCTGCACCTGCACCCCTGCACCTTCACCCCTGCACCCTCACATCTGCACCTTCACATCTACACCTGCACCCTCACATCTGCACCTGCACACCTGCACACCTGCACACCTGCAGCTTCATACCTGCACCTTCACACTTGCACCTTCACCCCTGCGCCTTCACACTTGCGGTCTCACCCCTGCACCTTCACGTCTGCACCTTCACATCTATACCTGCACCTGCATGCCTGCACCTTCACCCCTGCGCCTTCACCCCTGCACCTGCACCCCTGCGCCTTCACACCTGCCTTCCCCACGCGGCCCCCCGGGCAGCCGGGGCCTGAGGGGCGCTCTCCACAGATGCCAGGCCACAGACTGTTCAAGCCTATCTTGGGGGCGGGGGGCGGGAACACCGAGGGACGAAGCCTGTGCCCTCCTCCCAGGTGGTTTCTGACCACTGGTCGGGATGGACGGAAGGACAGCAGCCAGGGATCGATGCCTTAGAGCAGATGCAGCGCTGAGACGGAGAGCTGGGGACATGCAGGCGCAGAGAGGGGTCGGGTGGGGCCTTCAGGGGCCCCAGGGGAGAGGGATGGGCCCGAGCATCTCCGGCCCGGACGGTAGGGCCAGGGCAGGGGCATTTTCGAGGTGTGTCCAGCAGGAGCCTGGGTCCTGCCGCCCGGCGGCACCGGGCGGGGCTTCGATGCCTCCACGTGCGCTCGACCTCTTCCCTCAGATTCGGAGGCGCCGCCCCACCCCTGCCACCCTAGTGCTGACCAGTGACCAGTCCTCCCCAGGTAAGCCCGGGCTGGGCCGCTGAAGGCAGAGGGGCTGCGGGGCGGCTGGGGCCAGTGAGTGAGGAGGTGCGGGAGGGGTGCGGGAGGAGGGCGGGCCTGAGGGGCGGAGGCCAGCTCCTGAGCCCGGACGCAGGGGCCACATTGGCGGGACGGTCGCCTTTGCTCCGGAGAGATGGAGCCGTGCTGGGGGGACACACCTGGCTCCCGGGCCCCCAGGAGCCGAGCTGGTCCACTGAGTGCCGGTTGCTGCGGCAACAGCCTTCAGGTTGCTCCAGCAACTGCCATCCCCCCAGCCCCCCGGGGCAGTGACAGCTGTGAGGGGAGGGACGGCGGCCGTCAGCCAGCCTGCAGCCCTCCGGGAAGGGGAAGGTCGGGAGCACTCGGAGCAGCTGGCGTGGTCACCAGTGCACCCCGTGAGGTCTGAGGGGGACATGGTCTCGGGGAGCCTGACGGGACGGCGGGAGGCAGGTGCTGCTGCTAGTAAGTGAGCCTGCGGTTAGGACGCCCGAGTCCCAGCCTGCACCTGGCCACCCCGGCCTGCACCTGGCCACCCCCGGAGTGCACTCAGCCACCCTGGCCTGCACCTGACTACCCCCGACCTGCACCCGGCCACCCCGGCCTGCACTCGACCACCCCCGGCCTGCACCCAGCCACCCTGGCCTCCACCCAGCCACCCCTGGCACGCACCCGGCCACCCCCAGCCTGCACCTGGCCACCCCTGGAGTGCACTCAGCCACCCTGGCCTGCACCCAGCCACCCCTGGCATGTGCCCGACTCCCCCCGGCCTGCACCCAGCCACCGTGGCCTGCACCCGACCACCCCCGGCGTGCACCCGGCCACCCTGGCCTGCACCCTGCTGGATCCTCCCTGCCCAGGGCGAGCCTGCTCATCCTCTAGTGCCCCCTGCCCTGCAGGGTGGGCCCCTGACCCCCGACCCCGAGGAAGGGGGCAGTGCTGGGGAGGAGAAGGACTCCCGCGCACCTCAGAGGGAGGAGAGGGGCCAAGGGTCCTACTCAGGAACCTCCAGGTGTGAGGCCAGGACGGAGACACTGACCTCAGAGTCAAGGACAGGACCGCGTGCGGGCAGGGGCGGCCCTCAGGACCAGCCTCCCAGGGGCAGACGGGAGGCTCAGGGCTCGGGAAGGAGGCGATGGCCGAGGCTCCCCCTTGGGACGTCAGCCTCGGAGGGTCTCCCGTCCTCTTCACTTTCTGCCTTCCCTGTTCCCCCCAGAGGTAGATGAAGACCGGATCCCCAACCCGCTCCTCAAGGTGAGCTGCTCGCTGGCGCTCAGCCCAGCCCACAGCCTGTCGGGGATCATTCCCCAGACCCCCCAACCGGTGTGGCCTTTGGACCCCCGTCCTCTGCAGCCGCCTGCACGAGCATGAGGGGACGCGCCCTGTCCCCACACCCAGGCCCCTTGCTCAGCACCGCGGTGGGGCGGGGATGCTGGGAAGCCGGGAACCCACACACACCTTCTGAGGCCCACAACCCACCCCCAGCTCCAACCCAAGAGCCTGCAGGCACAGAAGGGGGGAGGGCTGGCCTACACCTGTGCCCTGTGTCCCTCACAGTCCACTCTGTCCATGTCTCCACGGCAACGGAAGAAGGTGACAAGGACCACACCCACGATGAAAGGTCAGCAGGACTTCCCGTCCCCTTGTCCCCCGCGTGCGGGGGGCTGAGCACTAGACCTACTGACCCCTTTGGAGGGAGTCCTCGGGAAGTCCTTCACCCTCCCTGTTGCCAGCCCTGCGGGTGCCAGCTCCGCCTCCCGGGGGCTGGGGGCCCAGGAGGACCCGCCTCACCTGCCGGGCAGGTAGGTGGCCTGGGGAGTGCACCCCACGCGGAGGGGACTCGGGGATTCCTCGGAGTCTAGCCAAGACGGGGATCCCAGCCCCTCGGGAAGATCCTTGTTCCTAAAGGCCCCGCCCACCCTCCCTCCCCACAAAGGAAAGATGCTTCGCTGTGTAGCCTCGGTTGCCCAGCGATGCCCCGCCCCAGCCCGGCCCCTGTCGCCAAGTGGCGGCCACGTCCCTCCCTCTGTGCCCCCAGAGCTCCAGATGATGGTGGAGCATCACCTGGGGCAACAGCAGCAGGGAGACGAGCCTGAGGGAGCCGCGGGGAGCTCGGGGCCCCGGGAGCCCTGCCCGCCTGGGATCCCAGACACGGAGGCGGCCTGCAGGCCGGGCGCGGGGAAGGCAGCAGGTACTGGGGGGGGAGCATGGGGGGGAGGCGGGATGGCGGGAGGGAGGGGGATGCAGGGGGGGGACATTGGGCGGAGGAGGGAGGGGGATGGGGGGCCGGTGTGTGGGGAGGGCCGTGGGGGGCTGGGGGGCCACAGCAGGAGGAGCAGCCTCACCTGCGTGGGGTCTGATGGCACAGAGCCGGCCAGGCCTAGGGCTGCGCAGGGCTGGAGGGCATGGCCTGGCCCCGCTCCGCCTGCCTTGCTGCCCGGGAAGGCTCGGGGCCTCAGCCTCGGGGCCTCGAGCGGCCTGAGGTGACAGCACACGATGGCCTGGCCTCGGGGTGTTGGTGACAGCGGGAGGAGGCGGGTGAGGGCCCAGCCACTGGGGCAGGCGCAGCACCGGACGGAGGGGAGTGATGCTCAGGGGCGTCCGCAGCCCTGCAGCCCCGCAGACCCCGCCACCCTGCAGACCCCGCAGCTTGGCAGCCCCCACAGGCCTGCAGGCCCCGCAGACCCCACAGACCCCACAGGCCCCGCAGCCCCTGCCACCCTGCAGCCCCCGCAGGCCCTGCAGCCCCCGCCACACTGCAGCCCCGCAGACCCCGCAGGCCCCGCAAACCCCACCACCCTGCAGACCCCGCAGGACCCACAGACCCCACAGGCCCCGCAAACCCCAGCACCCTGCAGACCCCGCAGCCCCCGCCACCCTGCAGACCCCGCAGGACCCACAGACCCCACAGGCCCTGCAAACCCCATCACCCTGCAGACCCCGCAGACCCCGCAGGCCCCGCAAACCCCACCACCCTGCAGACCCCGCAGGACCCGCAGACCCCACAGGCCCCGCAAACCCCAGCACCCTGCAGACCCCGCAGCCCCCGCCACCCTGCAGACCCCGCAGGACCCACAGACCCCACAGGCCCTGCAAACCCCATCACCCTGCAGACCCCGCAGACCCCGCAGGCCCCGCAAACCCCACCACCCTGCAGACCCCGCAGGACCCGCAGACCCCACAGGCCCCGCAAACCCCAGCACCCTGCAGACCCCGCAGACCCCGCCACCCTGCAGACCCCACAGCCCCTGCAGACCCCGCAGCCCCCACAGACCCTGCAGGCCCCACAGACCCCGGAGGCCCCGCAGCTCAGCAGGCCCCGCAGACCCCGCCACCCTGCAGACCCTGCAGCTTGGCAACCCCCACAGCCCTGCAGACCCCGCAGGCCCCGCAAACCCCACCACCCTGCAGACCCCGCAGGCCCCACAGGCCCCGCAGCCCCCGTGGGCCCGAGCCCGGAGCTCTCCGGGTTTCACAACGGGCGCCCAGGCTTTACCCACTGAGACACCCGCGGGCCCTGTCATCGGACTAGAAACGCCTCTGCGCGGAGCGAGGGGTCCCGTCCATGGGGAGAGCCTACACGTAGCCCGTATGGGGTCAGCTTTAGCCAAAGTGGACCCAAACTTTTTTAAAGTTGTTTTTTTTGTTTTTTTTTGTTTTTTTTTTTTTTTGCAAATTTAAGAATAGGGCCCTGTAGTGATGGTGGCGATGAGCGGGAACAGCCCGACTGTCCGACCGCCCCCAGCGGGGTCCGGGGCCACCGGGGCTCAGGGCGGGGGCCGAGCAGCCCCCTGCAGGCCTTCCCAGCACTGCCTTTGCCTCCCCAGGGCCTGCAGAACCCACGCGCGAAGCTCAGGAGAGGGGCAGGGAGAAGCCCGGCAGCGAGGAACCCACGGCCCATATACCACCACCGGCCTCCCTGGGAGCCAAGCCGGTGAGAGCCCCCGCCGGCCGCCCGGTGCTCAGGGGACAGGCTGCGTAGACAAGGGCAAGGGCTCAGACCTGGACTCGGGCTTAGGGGAACCGAGGGCCAGCTTCAGTCCCCGAAAAGCTCTTGTCCCGGGCAAGAAGACTTGGGGGTGTCAGGCACCCGGGCACAGAGGAGGGACCGAGCTGCAGGGGCAAGGATGAGGTCAGGCGGGTGTGAGGGCCTCCGCGGAAGGGGTAGGGTGCAGGCTGCAGGGTGCGTAGCAGTGGTGCCCGCAGCGGGGCTGGCGACGTGGCCCGGGGCTCCCCCCTGCTGGACACGTCGGGGCTCACCCCCCCCCCATCTCCGCCCCCGCCCCACAGCAGGTGTGACTCGGAAGGAGGCATCCTGCCATCGGCACTGCGGCTGGGAACGCACAGACACTGGATCTCTTTCTTATTCACTTTTGGGGAAAAAAACAAAAACAAAAAAAAACAAAAAAAAAACCTCTTGTTTTTAAAAAGTGATAAATTTGGTGTTAGGTCCTCGGCATTTTCCTTCTTTCCCAGCTTGGAGACTCCCTGCTCCGTCCCTTCGCACCCTGCCCTCCCTCAGCCCCGTCTCCTCGCCTCCTGCGCCAGGGAGGAGGAAAGAGGGAAGCTGGAGCCCTGGGGGGGGGGGCTCCCTGCAACCCGGCCCCGACCTGCAGTGGCAAGAGCAGGTGTGAGGACCCCCAGGGCACCGGGAAGGAAGGAAGGAAGGAAGGAAGGAGGGAGGGAGGGAGGGAGGGAGGGAGGGAGGAAGGAAGGAAGGAAGGAAGGAAGGAAGGAAGGAAGGAAGGAAGGAAGGAAGGAGGAAGGAGGGAGGGAGGGAGGGAGGGAGGGAGGGAGGGAGGGAGGGAGGGAGGAAGGAAGGAAGGAAGGAAGGAGGAAGGAAGGAAGGAAGGAAGGAAGGAAGGAAGGAAGGAAGGAAGGAAGGAAGGAAGGGCCTGGGTTCTCTTTTCTCTTCTCTCAGTTGAGGGAAAGATAAGCAGCCTCCGGCGGGGGGTGGGGGCTGCCCTGCAGCTGCCAGACTTGGGGGGACCCAGGTGGGTTCTGTGGGACTGGGCAGGGGGAGCTGCGCCCGGGCCCTCGCCGTGGCCGTGGCACCTGTCAGTGCCGCGGGGACCCTCCTTGCCCCGCCTCCGTGATTCCGCACTCCAGGCCGGGACCCCGTCCGGCTCCGAGGCCGCCACCACCCGGTAGCCCACCCGGGGTCCCACCTGGTAGCCAAGGTGGCCGAGAGCACCGTGGTTGGGAACACAGAGGCCCTTGCTGGGACTCAAGGACCCGGGACCCGCCGTGTCCCTCGTCCTGGACGACACCAGCCCAGGGGAAGACACTTTGCGGGGCAGCCAGGCCTCTCCTACCCGCTGCTTTGACTTTTCCGGGGCTGCAGTGGGGAGGGGAAGCGGGAGGCGAGGCTGGCCTTCCTCACAGAAGCAGCCCTGGGGGAGCAGGACGTGCCAGGTGCCGGGTGCTCCTCCGTGCCCCCGCCCGACCCCAGCTCTCCCCGCGGCCGCCCACCCTCGTGCGCAATAGGGACAGCACCGCAGCCGGGGTTTCTGGGCTTCAAGAGAGCGCGCGCCGGGCAGAAGCTCGGTGGGCCCCCACCCAGCAGACACGGTCACAGCCAGGCGGTCTCCCTTCTTTATTGATCTCTGGCTACAGCAGGGTTCCGGGAGACCGGGGCAGGGGTGAGTCACATGCGTCTCTGCCCCACTTGGGGTGGGGGCGGGGGGCAGGGTCGAGGAGACCGTGGATATGGTCACGCCACAGGGCCCACTGTACAAGTGCAGGGTGGTATGTACAGGAAGGGGGAGGGCGGCCGCCCGGACTGGGGCCTGTCCTGGGACGAGGCCGCTCCAGAGCCTGGGGAGACGCGGGGGCCCAGGCCTGGCGGGTCCCTCCCGTCTGCCCCGCTCGTCCCGGGGAGGGGCCAGAACAGGGGGAGCAATGCAGGATGCCCGGATCACAGCTCAGCCTCCCCGCACCCGGGCCCCACCGGCCGCCCCCTGCCTGTGCGCCTAAGACACACCCTGAGGGTGCTTGGCTGGGGAGACCTCAGAGCACTTTACAGACATTGGTCGGATGGGAGCCTCCTGGCGCCGGGGCGGACGGAGGGGGCAAAGGGCTCAGGACACCGGGCAGGCGACAAGCCCCAGGCCCCAGGCCAAGCCCAAGCTCTTGAGGACCCCAAAAGGCCTCCCTTCTTCCCCTGTCCACGCTTCAGATTGGGAGGGAAGGAAGATTAGGCTGGGCTGGGGCTGGGCTGGGGCGGGGAGGGGCAGCGTAGGGCTGGGGTAAAGACGACACCCGCGTTCCCAGGCCCCTCCGAGTCCCCCCTCTGCGCTCAGGGCTCTGACAACCCCCAGCTCCCTATCCTACTGCAGCCCCTCCCAGGGGAGGGAAAGGGGGACCCAGACCTGCCAGCTGAGATCTGGGGGGGGCTGAGGGGACCCCCAAAATGTATTGCTTAGAAACTTGGAGGCATAAAGGATGGGGGAGGGCCCAGGGGCTGGCGTCTCCGACCCTCCCCCCGGGCCCAGAGGCCTCCGAGGAGCTCCCCTCTCCCAGCCAGCCCTCAGGCCACGGGGCGGGGGGAGTCCGGGGGCGGGGGACGGGCACAGTGGCCACTGGGAGCCTGAAGTTCCCCAGTCTTGCTGCTGGGAAATTAAAGGGCGCCCCAGTGGGTGTCGGGTGGGGAGGGGCCCTCCCCCACCCCCACAGTCTCTGGCGTCCGGCCTTCGGGTGGGTCGTGCGTTCCTGGGCCTCCAGGCTCCCTTGGAGCAGATGGGGGAGCCGGTCCCGAGGGATGGTGCTGATGGCGTGGAACACGTGGGACTCGCTGAGGACCTGGGACAGGGGAGCGGCCTCGGTGCTCCCGTCTGTGCCTTCCCCAGCCTGACCCAGCGGCCCCCTCTCCAGGGCCCCCCACCCACCCACTCACCCCGTACAGTGGGGCAAACCCTGCCCGCGGGGGGCTGCGTGCACGTCCCGCCCTGCTGAGCCACGGTGTCCTGCGGCCCGGCTGGGCCTGCTCCCCTCTGCCCCCCTGCGCCCGCCCCCTCCCGCTGCACCCCACAGGCTCACCCGCCCAGCCCCGGGCTAGTCCAGGTTCCCGTTCTGGTTGTGCTCGTCCTCGGCCGGGGAGGGCAGGGCCTCCTCCTCACAGGGGGACAGTTCGTCGATGGACATCTGGTTGGTGACGCCTGCGCGGGGCCGTTTAGGAAGTTGCGCCCAGACCGCGAAGCACTGATCCCCAGAAGCCCAGGGGTACGAGGAGCGACGCAGGGGCCCCTGTGCCTCCCCCGCCTTCAAGATGAGCCACCTCCGAGCCCACTCAGGCCGTCCCCCCCTTGTGAAAACTCGCACGCAAAGGAAGAGCTTTCTCGACCGAGGCCCCAGGTCACCCACATCTCCCGGGACCCCACTGGAGGCCGCAGCTTGTATGGGGTCCGTGGGCCGCGGGGCTCGGCCGTTCCTAGCTCGTCTCCCGTCCCCCGTCTAGAACAGTCCGGGCCAGTCAGCCAGCAGGTCTGTCCTGTGATCTTAAGTCCGATCAGCCCCGTTCCCCCCTCTGGGAGCCAAGGGCGGCTCCAGGGCTTGGAGGGAAAGGACGCGAGCGCCGCCGCACAGCCCCCTCCGCCCCCCGCCCGGCCAGCGGCACCCACCACTTGCCGCCCGCTCCTTCCACTTCTGCTTGTTCTCCTGAATGTACTTGGTCCAGGTGGAGCGGAAGCGGACCACGTCAGGGTTGGGGTCTCCCACCTCCACGTCCAGGGAAGGCTGGCGCCACTGGAAACTACAGCAGGCCCCCGGCCGCTCGGAAGAGCCCTCCCAGCCCTCGGAGTCAAGGGGCCGGGGGGAGGCCGGGGGGCTCCTGTCCCCTCTCCCTCTGCCGGGAGCCCCTGGACCCTCCACTTCGCCCCCTCCCCTCCATCCCTCCCCCCTACTAGAAGGAAAATAAAAACAAGATGAGCAGAAAGGCAAGAGAGACAGAGCCGTGGGAGCAACAGAACTCGGGGGGCGGGGGGGGCTGTCCGGCCAGCCCTGTGGGTGACGTGGGCAGAGAGGCCTGCTCTCCGCGAGTCCCTGTCCCGTCCCCAGAACCCGGACTGCCTGCCCCAGCCCCCCTCACCTGGGCTGGTTCTTAGACTTGGAGTCGTCATCCACCAGGGGCTGGACGCTCTTCTCGGCCACGTCGGTCAACACAGAGAACGTGGGCTCCACGATGAAGTCAATGAACCCTGCAGGGCAGCGGGGACACGGTGGCGAGGTCCCCCCCGCACGGTGGCAGGCCAAGCGCGGCGACCCGGCCTGGGAAGTTCCCGCGGGGCAGCCTCCGAGCTGAGCCCTGGGACCCCGCGTGTGCACCCCCGGCCGCCACCCGGGACCCCTGGCCCTAGCGCGGGCCCACTCCGCAGGGAGGCCGGCCCTGAGGGTGGCCACGCGGGGAGCCTCCTCGCCCTGCCCGGCGCTCTCCTCCCGCGACAAGGGACACTCACCAATCTGCGACTGTGCCACCAGAGTGGAAGTGCGGTCACACAGCGGAGAGAAGGGCAGGCCCAGCTCGGCCTCCTTGTCGCCCTGGGGAGGAGCCGGGCGGGGAAGCTGGAGGGGGTGCCTCCGACTACCAGGCCAGGCCGGGGTGCAGCGCAGGGAGCTGGGGGTGCTGGGGAGAGGGGGAGCCTCGGGGCCTCCCACCTGGAAACGGAGGCGGGCAAGCGGGGCGCCACTAGGGCCCGGGCACAGGAGAGGGGCCTGTGGCCCCAGGGGTTGGGGATCCGGTGGGAAGGCCTGCAAACGGGGGGGACCTGCAGGGCTGGGGCAGGGGGGCCGGGGCAGGGGGCTGCGTGGCTACCTGGCGGAAGAACTCCTCCATGAGCGCCTTGGTCCAGCGGCTGTGCACCGCCCACTGCTTGGTCGGGTGACTGATGTCGGCCGCGTGCAGCAGCAGGGACAGGGCCTTGGGCTTGTCGATCCTGGGCGGGGCGGGAGGTCACGCGGGGACACGCGAGCTTCAGGGCAGGGAGCCCCGCATGGTGCCGCACCCTCCGCCGCGCGCCCTCGGCTGCCTGCAGGGCCCTTCTAGCAGCCTTGGGCAACGGGCATGCGCTCACGCACCCAGGCACACGTGTACACGCACACACAGGTACATGCACACGCATGCACGCACACAGGTACACACAGGTGCACGCACACACAGGTACATGCACGCACACAGGTGCACGCACACACAGGTACATGCACGCACACAGGTACACACAGGTGCACGCACACACAGGTACACACGTACACACACGCAGATGCGTGCACACAAAAGTACATGCACGCACACGCACAGAGGCACACGTACACAAGTACTCACACATGCACGCACACACACAGGTATGAGCACGCATGCATGCATACAAGTACGCACCCAGGTACACGCACACACGTACATGCACACACACAGGTACACACACAGATACGCACACACACAAGTACATGCACGCATACGCACACAGGTACACGCACACACGTACACAAGTACACATGCATGCACACGCAGGTATGAGCACGCATGCATCCATGCAAGTACGCACCCAGGTACCTGCGCACAGGTACATGCATGCAGACGTGTGCACACACAGGTACACACAAGCAGATACGCACACACAGGTACATGCACACACGTACACACGCACACACGTACACACACGCAGACATGCACGCACATGGGTACACACAAGCAGATGCACACACAGGTACACGCATGCAGACGCACGCACAGGTACACGCACACAGGTACACGCATGCAGACGCACGCACAGGTACACGCACACAGGTACACGCATGCAGACGCACGCACAGATACACGTGCACAGGTACACAGGTACACACTGGTACACGCGCACAGGTATACGCACAGATACGCACATGCACACAAGTACATGCACGCACACGTACACGCACACATGTACACAAGTACTCACGCATGCACGCACACACACGCAGGTACGAGCACACATGCATGCGCACAGGTATGCACATTGGTACACGCACACGCATGCAGATACCCACATGTGCACACACACAGGTAACCTGCATAGGTACACGCACGCATGCACACACAGGTACACACACACAGACACGTGCCTGCACACAAGTACATGCACGCACACAGGTATGAGCACGCATGCATGCACACACATGTGCACAGGTACACGTACACAGACACGTGCACACACAGGTGCATGCACGCACACACACAAGTACGGGCACACACTGGTACACGCAGATATGCACACACACGGGTACACACGTGCACGCACACACACATGTACATACAGGAAGCAGCCCAAGTTCTTAGAACCAGAGGGCATGGGTTCGAATCCCCGTGTACCTATCAGAGCAAGTCACTTAAAATTTCCTATTCCACCCTCCTTAGTCCTAACTGGAGATAGTAACAGAACTGACCACACAGGGTTGTTCTGAAAATTCAATGACACACAACACACAAGCATTTACTAGCGTGTCTGGCACGGCGCTGAGTGGGTGTTCCCTAGAATAACGATATTATTATGAGTATTAATCGTTCACCAACAATGCCAGGCGGCACGCTGTCCCCCGGGTCAGTGTGCGTGAACACACACCTTCAGGACCCACAGGCACGGTCTCTTCGCTGTCACACGCGTTTTTCTACTCCCACCCACTTTTAAGCGACATTCAGCGTGACCGCGGCACCCGTTCTGTGCTTTCTTCCTTTCACCTCGCATGACTGCCCAGCCCTCCCAGCGAGGAGCGGCGGCCAGCTGCAGCAGGGACGCCCACCGTGCCCACCCTGCAGCCGGGGGGGAGGCCAGAAAGGTTGCCGGGTTTTCCCGGCATTCCAGGGTGAGGCTGCCCCGCAGCAGCAGCAGCAGCGAGAAGGCCCACCTCCGACTCCCAGCCCGGCGGCTCTCCAGGGGGCCGCACGTAACCCCAGGGCCGCGCGGAGGCGCGGAGATGGGCTCAGACACCTGGAGCCAGGAGAGCTTCTCCATCCAGCTAAAGACCTGGCACAGCAGTTCCCCACGCGTGCGCCCCCGAGTCACACAGCCCGCACCCCGGCCCTGCCCCGGCCACACCCCACCAGGCGCCACCTCTCCAGCTGCTGCAAGGCCGTCTTCATGCACTTCACTTGCTGGAAATGGCAGGACATGTCCGTGGCCAACACCATCTCGATGACCAGGGCCCGTAGCTCTCTGCACCGACAGAACCAGAGAAGCCGTCAGCCCCCTCAGCCCCGGCTGGCAGGAGGCCCGGGCGGCGGGGTCCCTCCAGGTCGCCCACTCCCGCCTTCGGCTCACACAAACTCATCCTTGGTGAGGTTGATGAAAATGTTCATCTCATCATCCTGCATCATTCGGAAGACGGAGCTGATGTGGTGGTTCTCCAGCACCGAGCGATCGTTGTACAGGATGGCGCACTCGGACCTGCAGAGCCAAGGCCCCCGAGCGGCCCCCGTGAGCCGCCTCGCCCACCCCGCTCGGCCCCTCTTGCCCCGGCCACAGCCGCCCCCTCACTTGGTCTGGATGTGGAAGCTGTTGGTGGTGCCTGTGTGCTCGTAGTCGTGGATGGCCGCAGCGAAGATGATGGCTAAGATCTCGATCTCCGACAGGCAGTGCTGGGACAGAGGGGCGGCGTGAGGGGCCTGCCCGGGGCCGCCACTGCCCGAAGGCCTGCAGCCCGGGCCGCACCTCTCGGCCTAGGCCCGCTCTTGGGCTAAGCCGGCAGCTCCTCAGCTCCCTCTTGCCAACCTCAAACCCGCCCGCCGCCTCCCAGCACACACCCCAGCAGGAGCACGGCCCCTGAAGTCACGGTCCGCCCCGGAATTCCCCAGGGTAAGGGGGATTTGACCCTCGAGCCTTTGCGAGGCCAAAGCGAGGCAAAGGGAAAGGGGAGCATAGTCTAGGCTTTCCCGTCCTGCAGCCGTAAGGCCTTAAAAGAGGGAGGGGTGATCCCCGGCACCTACCACCATCCCCGTGCGGAGCAAGAAGCAATGCACCGTCTGGGTGACGTCAGCTGCGTGGATCTGGTTGTGATAAGGGTTCTTGTACTTCCCGTAGCCCGTCTCCAGCGCGTCCAGGAAAGTCATCAGAAACACAGTGGGAATCTGCAGCGGGAGGGAGAGAACCGGCGGCCCGTGGGGGGTCTGCGGGACAAGGGACACGGGGGCAGCGGAGAAGGCCCCGGCTCCGCCCTCAGGTGAACCCGGCTCGCACCCTGGCTCTACCACCGGCTGGCCCTCGACCTTGGGCAGGCCACGGGCCTCTGAGACTTGGTCGCAGAGTGAAGACCATGCCCCGACCTTGCATTTACTGAGACGAGGACGAGGCACTCCGGTAAGTGCTCTCCAAACAGTAGCTGTGCCGACGGCTGTTTCCCTGGAGACTTTTAAGAAAACTCCCCTCCTGTCTTCCGGCCATCCCGGCCCTAGTCCAATACACGGAGCAGGGGGCAGAGGCGGGGAAAGAGCAAGAGGGCCTGGAGGGGCCTTTCCGGGCAGGCAGGGGTCACCACCTCGTCCAGGAGGGCTTTCCCTGTGCCCACCCCGACACGCACACGCACACGCACACGCACCAGGGCCAGCGCTCTGTGCAGCTATTATCCGCCGCCTGTATACGCCCTGGGAGCAGGCCTGCCTCCGTACAGGTCAGGCGTCTGCATCACCCCTAGGTCTCCTGAGGCTGCGAGGAGAGCCAGGTTTGGGACCTCGGGAGGCTTCCGTAGGGACGCGGAAGTCCAGCCAGTCCAGCCGTCCCCCACCCCAGGGCTGTGCCCCACATTCAGGGAATTTTAAAGGGCCGTTTCCATGAGAACTGCCCTTGCTTCTGCGTTGCCATGGTGTCCCTGGAGGGAGGGGAGGGGAGGGGAGGGAAGGGAAGGGAAGGGATGCCGGGGAGGGGCCGGGTGCCCCGGAAGGGAACGCGCGGAGCGTGCAGGGCGGCTCCCCTCTCGGCCACCAGGGCGCGCTCGGCAGTAAGCGGGGGCCACCCCCCTGCCCTGGAGCAGCCAACTGGGCGGCCAAGCCCAGGCTGACACAGGTGGGGGGGGGGGCGCCTCCAAAACCAGGCCTTGCAGGTAAGGAAGCGAGTTTGGGAGAAGCTGGTGTCTGCAGAGTGTCTGAGAATCGTTTGGAGAAACATGAGCCGGGGCAAGCCTTGGGGGAAGGAGGGCCCTGCTGTGGTCTGTCCCGGAGGGGACGGGACGGGACGGGGACGGGACGGGGAGGAAGAAAACGAGGCTGCAGAAGGGGAGGCCTCAGGAAGGCACTGAGGACAGCCGCAACGGAGCACCTCGGGAAAGTTCTGGAAACCTGCGCGGGAGCCGTGGAAGGAGGAGTCAAGGGTCGAGCAAAGGCTCCCACGCACCCAGAGCCCGTGGTGGTGAAGCAGAGGCGGAGGGCGGGGGATGCCCAAGCCCCCGAGAAAGGCCCCCTTGGGACGCACGTTTCCTCCGCCCCGACGCCCGTGTCCGCCCCCACCTAAGCGCTGACCACACATTCCCCCGCGACTCCTCGGCCCCGTCACCCTGCACTTCCCGAGAGTGGCTTTTCCATGCGGAAGTGGCTTTTCCCAGCCCCTATTCCCGAAAGACACTCCCTCCCGGCACAGAATCTGGAGAGGACTTTAATCCCGTATTCTTCGTGGCCGGCCCAGCGGAGGAGCCAGTGGGGTCCACACGGCCTCCGCCCCTTCATTCGGCCCTACCGGCCTTGCCGAGAGCTGATGCCCTCCCTAGAACCCCTTGGATGGAGACTAGAGGGGAGGGGACGGAGGGGGGTGACCGACGTTACCCCCTCCGCCCACCCCGGGCCCACCCCGTCCCGCTGCAGGGAACAAATGGAGAGATGCGGGTCCCAGGGGCACCGGCGAGCAGCATCTGGACCCTCGGCCCCGGGCGTCCACAGGCAACAGGCAGGGAGGTGAACCCCAAGCAGCCCGGAGAGGACACGTCCGGGAAGGAAGCAAAGCGGGACAGAGCAAGGTCCTAGGCCGGATGCTCGCAGGCCCCGAGTCTCGTCCTAGAGGGCAGCAGGTGAAGTCCGAGGCCCGGGATGCAGCGGGTGACGGAAAGGCTGGGCAGGGGGCCCCGTGTGCCGGGGACCTTCTGGAACAGGAGTGATGGGAGCGGAGACCCCCCAGGAACAGGGCCGGGGGCTGCCCAACCTTAAAGCGGCTGATGAGGTTATGGCGAGTCAGTAACTCGAAGACAATGGTCCTCAGGGCGTGCTCATCTGCTGCCCGGTTCAGGGAGAAGACGTCGAAGCACCAGCGGTCCAGGTTCTGGGGAGACACGACGGGCTGGGCGGGGAGCCTCCCACGGAGGGAGCCTCCCGGGGCAGCAGGCTTGCCCTCGGCTTCACGAGGACTCCCGGCGTTTGCAGACCCCTGGGCGGCGGGCCTGTCCCCCCAGACAGTGGCCGGTGCGAGCTCCCGCGGAGGGCGCACACGTGGTTTGGGGCAACGCGGGAATGACGGGTGGCGGGGAAGGCAACCGGGCCCCCATAGAGTCGGGAAGTCCCAATGCCCCTGCCTTCCCCCAACCTTCCCCTCTTCCCCAGAAACCCGGGGATCAGTCACCTTGAGACAGTTGAGGACCACAGTGGAATAGGTGGGGCCCACGGACGTGTACGTTCTCCGGAACATCCTGGGGGCAGACGCAGAGGCCGGGCATGAGGGTCCGCGAGCCGGGGTCTCATCGGCGGGGCTGCGGGGGGCTCCGGGGCCGGGGGCACGGCCGGGGCAGAGGGAGGCCGGCTCGGGCAAGCCTCACCGCTCCACGAAGATCCCGGCCTGCACGGCGTGCACGATGCTCCGGAACTTGGGCTTCTCCTCGGCGCGGCGGCCCTTGGCCCGGGCCTGCTGGGTGAAGGTGGACGCCAGCCAGTCCCGCACCTCCGACGGCACCGCGTCCGACCGCAGCTCCTGCAGCTCGTCCTCCGTGTCCAAGATTTGCCTGAGGCCCCGAGGAGAGTCCCGCGTCCCTAGGCTGCTCCCCCACCTAAGGACGCTGCACCCGGCCGCACCCACAGCTCGGGAGCACCCCCCCCCCCCGGCCCCAGCCCCGGCCCCGGCCCTGTTGTTCTCTTTATTTCTGTCCCTCTGATGCCTCCAGGACCGAAGCCGCCCGGCCTGAGCGGCGCACCCCGGGCCCAGGCACACCCTGGCGCAGGTGCCCCCGGGGGTCGGACGCCGCCACGGAAAAGCGATTTGGCCGCGTCCAGCGGCCGCGTTAAAGTCCGAGGGAAGGCGGGGGATTCCTCTGAATGATTCGTTTTCCTTTAGCAAACACACGCGAGGCATCACACCCAGTGCGAAGGCTCCACACCATCCGCCGGGGCACCGTGTTTCACGAGGACACAGGCCCCGACTCACGCGAGAGCTCACGGGCCACGCGGGCCACGGCCCCCCCCACCCCCCGGGGGCAGGGCGCTGCAGGGCGTGGGGCTGGCCAGACCGCGGAGCCCGTCCCCCCGTGCCCCGTCCCTCCGTCCCTCGCTGACCTGTGTCCCCTCCGGGCCCCCTGTCCCCCCCATCCCGGACCCCGGACCCCGGACCCCATCCCCGCCCCCGGGGCGCCTCTCACCGCGTCTCGTCTATGTAGACGGCCTCCAGCAGGGACGCCGTGTACTCCAGGTTCTTCTTCAGCTCTTCGATGTTGACCTCCCCGTTCTCCAGCTGCTTCACCATGTAGCGCAGCCTGGGCGGGGACGGGGGACGGGGATGGGGACGGGGTCGGGGACGGGGATGGGGACGGGGGGTGCACTTAGGCGCCACGACCTGGGCCCGAGAGCCCGACCCCTGGAGGTGCCTCAGTCTCCCACAATCCTCTCTGCCCGACAGCAGGAGGAACAGCAGCTGGCGCGGCTCGTGCTGGGCTCTTACCCCTGCCTGTCGGACACTGCCGACCCCCAAGTCTAACCCCGGGTCCCCCGACCCCGCCCAGCCACCTGCCTCCATCTCCCCACATCCCTGACCCCGGGTCCCCTTCTCCACCGTCCCCACCCGCCTGTCGCCCCACATCCCTAACCCCGGGTCCAGTTCTCCACCGTCCCCACCCGCCTGTCGCCCCACATCCCTGACCCCGGGTCCTGTTCTCCACCGTCCCCACCCGCCTGTCGCCCCACATCCCTGACCCCGGGTCCCCTTCTCCACCGTCCCCACCCGCCTGTCGCCCCACATCCCTGACCCCGGGTCCCCTTCTCCACCGGCCCCACCTGCCTCTGTCCCCCACATCCCTGACCCCGGGTCCTGTTCTCCACCGGCCCCACCTGCCTCTGTCCCCCACATCCCTAACCCCGGGTCCCGTTCTCCACCGTCCCCACCCGCCTGTCGCCCCACATCCCTGACCCCGGGTCCCCTTCTCCACCGTCCCCACCCGCCTGTCACCCCACATCCCTGACCCCGGGTCCCGTTCTCCACCGTCCCCACCCGCCTGTCGCCCCACATCCCTGACCCCGGGTCCCCTTCTCCACCGGCCCCACCCGCCTGTCGCCCCACATCCCTGACCCCGGGTCCCCTTCTCCACCGTCCCCACCCGCCTGTCACCCCACATCCCTGACCCCGGGTCCCGTTCTCCACCGTCCCCACCCGCCTGTCGCCCCACATCCCTGACCCCAGGTCCCCTTCTCCACCGGCCCCACCTGCCTCTGTCCCCCACATCCCTGACCCCGGGTCCCCTTCTCCACCGGCCCCACCTGCCTCTGTCCCCCACATCCCTGACCCCGGGTCCCCTGACTCCACTGTCCCCACCTGCCTCTGTCCCCCACATCCCTGACCCCAGGTCCCCTTCTCCACCGTCCCCACCCGCCTGTCGCCCCACATCCCTGACCCCGGGTCCCCTTCTCCACCGGCCCCACCCGCCTGTCGCCCCACATCCCTGACCCCGGGTCCCGTTCTCCACCGTCCCCACCCGCCTGTCGCCCCACATCCCTGACCCCAGGTCCCCTTCTCCACCGGCCCCACCTGCCTCTGTCCCCCACATCCCTGACCCCGGGTCCCCTTCTCCACCGGCCCCACCTGCCTCTGTCCCCCACATCCCTGACCCCGGGTCCCCTTCTCCACCGGCCCCACCTGCCTCTGTCCCCCACATCCCTGACCCCGGGTCCCCTGACTCCACCGGCCCCACCTGCCTCTGTCCCCCACATCCCTGACCCCGGGTCCCCTTCTCCACCGGCCCCACCTGCCTCTGTCCCCCACATCCCTGACCCCGGGTCCCCTTCTCCACCGGCCCCACCTGCCTCTGTCCCCCACATCCCTGACCCCGGGTCCCCTTCTCCACCGTCCCCACCCGCCTGTCGCCCCACATCCCTGACCCCGGGTCCCCTTCTCCACCGGCCCCACCCGCCTGTCGCCCCACATCCCTGACCCCGGGTCCCCTTCTCCACCGTCCCCACCCGCCTGTCGCCCCACATCCCTGACCCCGGGTCCCCTTCTCCACCGTCCCCACCCGCCTATCGCCCCACATCCCTGACCCCGGGTCCCCTTCTCCACCGGCCCCACCCGCCTGTCGCCCCACATCCCTGACCCCGGGTCCCGTTCTCCACCGGCCCCACCCGCCTGTCGCCCCACACCTCCCTTCGGCCCGTGTTTCCTGACCACCCTGTTTAGAAGGCGGCAGGATGCGGCAGGTACAGGCCCGGCGCGTGGTGTTTTGCGCACGATGTGTTTCACAGCCCGAGTGACCAGGAGCTGGGACGGCCCTGTGCCCCTGGACAGTGAGCAGCGGGGTCCTCCGCAGTCGGGAGCCCCCAAGATACTCCCATTACATCCCCGGTCACGGCTGGGAAGGGGCGGGGCGCACGTCCACGCACCCACAGGCCGCCCCAGCCCCACCGTCCCTGGGTCCCACGGGGATGCGAAGACACAGAACAAAGAGCAATCTGAGCGCTTTCGCCTGGCCTCCCTCTATTCAGGCAGAGCTAATGGATTATGATTCCAGAATCCGTCAACCGGGACAAAGCAGGATTAACCCCTGCCTCCCCGATGCCGTCCAGCGTCTGACTGTACCCCTGCCCCGCAGCGGCTCCCCAGGGCCCAGGCGGTGCGGCGGGGCCAGGGGTCTCACCGATGCCCTGCCAGAGGGGACAAGGCCTCCTCTTTCACGCTCAGGATCCCTGGGGCTCGGTGACCAAGGGGAGACTCCCTAAAGGACGGCTGGCGGGCGGGCCCAGGCGACGCGAAGCAAACAGGACTCTCCTGACTCGATGGTGGTTGCGGTCCCCTGCGGCCCCCTCCCCCGCCCCGCCCTGCCCCACCCAATACCCACGCGGGGCTGAAGTGGAGCCACGACCGCGACACTTCCCCACTGAGAGGAGCTTCAGAAACCCCAGGTCCCCCTATGAGTCAGGGAGGAAAGAATGAGTCAGGGACGGAGGCTGAGTCGGCGGCGTCAGTCCCCGGGGTGTCGGGGTGTCGGGAGGGAGGACGACGCGCTCCTGAACACAAGCAGCTCCCGAGTGCGGGGTCTCAGCAGCTTGGGTTGGGGGTGCCGGGAAGAGCCAGCCTGCACCCAGGGGCCGCCACCTGGCAGTGTGCGTGCAAGTGGGCGGGGGGGGAGGGGGGCACAGCAGACCAAGGGGACAACCCACAGCCTCTTCAGCGGCTGAGCCTCCGACCCCCCTCCCGCCCCCCTCCTGGACATCCCACAGCACCTGCACCACCTGCGAGTGGCAGCTGCTGACCCACAAAGCCGGGCGGGCGGGCGGGGGGTCGTGTTGCTTCCCGAAGGCCTGGCCCAGCTGCAGCCCCACTGGGGGCGGGACGGAAGCCACACACTAGAGGGCAGAGAGCTGCCCCGAGGGAGGGCGCAGAGCAAAGAGGTTCCTGCACCTCCAGGCCCCGCCCCCGCCCCCCCATCCATCCCGTGGCCAGGGGCCCTGGAGGCTGCGGACACACAACCCAAAAGGGAGGAAAAGCCCCGGCCCTCGTGGTCCACGTGGCTCAGCCCTCCCTGGACCCAGCGCAGCTCCTCTGCGCTCTCTCGCCCCACATCTTGAGACGCTCGCCCAGCTCAGGCCCCAGCGGGCGGCCGAGCCCACGCGGCTCATCTGCACGCAGCCGCGCAGTCGCTGACACTGCTGCCAGCCCCGGGTTTTAATTTTAAAAAGCCGTTTCTCCTACGTTGTCTCATATTAGCCTCACGAAGGGCGGGAGTTGGGAGGAACCCGCCAGCCCTATTTCCCGGGCAGGGACCGCGGCTCCGGGCACCGGCCTGGGAGGCAGGAATCCCTCCTGGCCCCGCGCCCTGGGGCAAGCACTAACTCTCACTCAGCATCTCTCAAGAATCACCGGCCCCAGAACTACCTGGGATACTCGTGAAACACTGAGATCCCAGGCCTCACTGCACACCCACGGAACAGAATTCCTAAGGGTATGACCCACGGATCCGCGAACACGCTCACACGCTCACCACCACCCGGGGTGATTCTCACGCACTCCCACGGTGGAGAACCTTTCCCTCGGGGCCTCTGTCCTTCCTCTGTAAACAGTGAAGATGATGATAAACCACCTGTGAAGGGCTGTTAATAAGGACTATTATTTACTTTATGACTTATACACGAAGTAACGCATGCAAAAGGCCTGACGCCTACAGAGGGTCTCTCTAAAGGTGACGTGAGTGGGAATGAACCGACCGGGATGGCGCTGGCCCCACCCAGCTCACAGGCCAGGGCCTTCCAACACCTGCGCCCGCCTTCTCCGTCCCAAGTCCGGCGGGAGAAGAGGGAGTCTAGCGTGGCTGGAGGCTCGAGATGAGGAAGCCCCCGAACGGCGGAGCGGGACGATGAAAATGGCCAGGATCTCTCCTCCACCCGAGGAGGGAGGTTAAGGGACTGGCCCAAGGTCACACAACGTGGCTGTTGGTCGCCAGCAAGCCCGGCGCTCACACCGCTGGGGCCTAACTGCACACGACAGGTGAGGGGCCGAGGGGCCTAACTGCACACGACAGGTGAGGGGCCGAGGGGCCTAACTGCACACGACAGGTGAGGGGCCGAGGGGCCTAACTGCACACGACAGGTGAGGGGCCGAGGGGCCTAACTGCACACGACAGGTGAGGGGCCGAGGGGCCTAACTGCACACGACAGGTGAGGGGCCGAGGAGCTGGAGGCTGTAAGTCCCTCGGAGCGAGGCGGGGGCCCCTTGGTCGCCGCTCCCTACTCCATCGTCTGCCCCCAAGCAGTGCTGAGCCCACGGGAGACCTGAGCAGCCTATGCTAGGACAGTGGCTTGTTTATCCCACCGCCGCTGTACAGGACGTGCTCGGGGAAGGTTCATTAGATAAATAAAAGGGAGGGAGGGAGACTGGCGGGGAGGGGCGGCTATCTCCCCGAGCTCACCAGAGATCTCTGAGGCAGGGTCTCCGCAACCCTAACGGAGAGCCCGGGGAAGAAAGAGGCCGTGGCCGTCTTCCTTCCACACAGCCTCCCCCCCCCCTTGCGTCTCTGCAGCCTCCACCCCGAGACCTCGCTCTTCTATGGCTCCTGTTGAAATCTGAACCGAGCGTGACCGAGACACCAGACGGAGCGGTGAGGGAGGGGAAGAAAGATTAAACAATAAGTTTGACAAATGGGGAGTCAAGAAGGGGACCTGGACCTGGACCCGGGCAGCTGCAGCTGCTCCCTCTCCCGCCGGGCAGTGGCCGCTCCGGTTCTCAAGTCCTTCAGAGTTGGGAGCTCCCCAGACCCAGGCCCGGCCTCCCCTC